ATCGTACTCGTGGAAGAATGCGGAAATCTACTTCCACCATGACAACGCCCGACCTCACACTGCAAAGGCGACCCAGGCCGAGCTGGAGAAGTACGGATGGCTGATGGTCGCCCACCCCCCTACAGCCCTGACCTCGCTCCTTCTGACTACTGGCTGTTCAGCCACCTGCAGCGCTCTCTGGACGGAAAAAAGTTCGAAACAAAGGATCAGGTCAGAAAGGCACTCGACGACTTCTTCAAGTCCCAGCCCCGTCGTTCTGGAAGGAAGGAATCGACAAGCTGCCTGAGCGCTGGCGTCGAGTAGTGGATGGTGATGGTGCATACCTCTAATCTTCAGGTTGGTTCGCTTTTGAGATATTTACGAAAAAAATCGTGGCCAAGAACTTATGCACCAACCTAATAGTCTGTCGCCTGCGGGGGCCTGGCCCTATGGAGAGAGGATCACGCTGGAAGGAGTACCCACCAGAGATGCTTCAATTGGTCCTAAGGGGATACCAGATGTAGTCCTCGGTGCACTCTGAGAAGTGGCGGGATAGCGACGAGGAAGCTCCCTCGGTGTCTTCAGTTTGCAAATGCGGAGATCACGGACTACATACTGGAGCATCCCGAGTTTGGCGTTCGACATCCCTGCTTGCTTTCGCAAAGTACGATCGAGCTCCAGCTCCTCTGAAGTATAATCTCTGCGGGCATACGAATGCACGAATCGCCTGGTCAGACTCTGACGTCCTGACCGCATGTGGTGCAGTAGTTTGTCCCGTAGAGCCTGTGAGGGTAACTCGATCTTGATGATACGATCACGGCCGTTCGCACTTTTTATCCTCTCAGGTGGGTAGCGTCGGGCGGTTATGTCTCCTTTGGAGAGCTCCTCTATGAGCTGCAGTCTCATCGCCCTGCTCCCCTATACCGATCCAGGTAATTAAATTATCATCTATTTTCTCACCATCTGCTTTCACTTTAACGATGGTAGAATAGAAAACTTTTCGATCCAGAGAGCACGACACCTGTAATCCGGAAATAGAATCTTCAAGAGCTGCAAGACGAGACAATATTTCGTTCTGGCGCGTGTTCATTTCGTCGATCCTATCGGCCAGCTTAGCGAGAGAGGTCGTCAGGGCCTTTTCCAGTCGATCTGCGCACGAAGCGTAGAGGTCCATCATCATGGTGGCCCATTGGGGGAGCTCCCTCTCCTGATCTGAAGACTTGCGTTGTGATCCACCGCGAGCCATTGGGAATCGATTAAAGCACCTCTCAAAAGAAACACCGAATAAAATTGAAATACCCGATAGAAAGGCAAGAAAAATAGGGTTGGAAGTTACAAGAGATCACTCCCGCGAAAATACCAGGACACAGGGAAGGAAAAAGTGGCTTTAATCGAAGAAAAAATTAATTATAAACCAAAAAATCCGTACCTAGCAGAAGAATTCGCAGAGCAGATAGAAAACGCCACGGCGCGACTTGATGACGTGGAATGTAAGCCCTTCAAGATTAGTAATAGTACACTCTCAGCTGATTACCCCTACATTGGTATCTCAACACCAACCACTCTCATTTCTATTTGGTTGCATTTATAATTGTTATTATGCTCTGGTAGGGTTCGTGGTACAAGTGAAACAAAAACCGTATAATTGTTGAGCATCCAGTGTAGAAGGAGGTA